CTGAAATTAGGACCGGCCCACCGGAAAAATGCCCGCTATCACAGATTACCAGATTACCTACCTTAAAGATTGTTTTTACTAAGCTTATTTTAGTATTTATTAAGTATTTATTAAACCAACATTTCTATATTTTCTGTCTGACTATTATGTTTTTGCCCCGTTTTTATCATTTCTAAATTCCTTGTTTTTAAATTTCAGACTTTGCAGATGATCAAACGTTAAAGCAGGCCTAGCAGATGTAAGTTTCCTCCTCCCGTTGCAGGTCTGTTGTCTCTGCCGGGTCCCTTTGGGACGCCGTTAACTCCTCGGTAGATCAGTCAGGAAGCGGCGCGTCGACGTTAATGAGACGAAGAAAGGAAGCACAAACAGATTTACTGTCACAGGCCTCTGAATGGTTGCCTGGTAGCAATGAAGGAAACTGATGCACAGGATGTAAACATCAGAAAGTGTAAATGTGCTTATCTGCTGCACCGCTGGGATGTCATTAAATGCACTTTAAAAAGAAACAACAAAAGAAACGAAATCCTGCAGGAGCAGCAGCAGCTGTCTGTCAGCTGTTCATCACTTAATGAGGACAAAGAACAGCTGAAGACGAAGCAAGCAGCAACGTGTTGGGATAAAAGTTCAAAAAGGAGGAAACTAAAGCTAACTGTCCTCAGCTGCAGGTTTTCTTCCAGAGTAAACGCCATTCCACCTTCTGTGTTCACCCAGCTGGTGGAAGAAGGAGGAGCTAAGCCCGGTGCTGAAGACAAGCCGCTCTGCTTCCTGCCCTGACCCGGAGACTCTGGGCCTCCTGAGGATCCCTCACCCTCCATCCCAACTTCTCTCCTCCTACTCTCCTCCTTCTCCTTCATCGCCGGCAGAAGAAAGCCTGAAAACAGCTGAGAGCGGTCAGGTACGGACGGATCAGTCTGCTGAAGGTCCAAATTATTGATGAAGAGTGAAAATAGATCAATTCAGAGATGGGAACAAATGCAAAGGCAATAATGTCATAAAATGAGTTGATTTTTTAACTGGGAAAGACAGAAGATGCTGTTGCATTTAGCCTGGTGTCTCAGGAGAAACAGTAAAAGGCTAATAGAGTCTGGATTACTGTTGGGTTTGATGGTGGAGATTCTCAGTCAGGAAGGTCAGAGTCATTCCAGAAAAGTTTAAAGACAATCCACTGGACTTGGTTTCCCAGTTTGAAGATGTTTCTCTTTCTTCTTTGATTTCTGACACTTTGAATTGAAAAAACTTCCTGGATGGGAAGAGAAACGTCTTCAAACTTGGAAACTAAGTCCAGTTGATTGTTTTTCACTTTTTTGGAACTGTTCTGTTTTAGTTAGTTAGTTAGTTAGTTAGTTAGTTAGTTAGTTAGTTAGTTCGTTAGTTCGTTAGTTCGTTAGTTCGTTAGTTAGTTAGTTAGTTAGTTAGTTAGTTAGTTAGTTAGTTAGTTCGTTCGTTCGTTCGTTCGTTCGTTCGTTCGTTCGTTCGTTCGTTCGTTCGTTCGTTCGTTCGT